AATACAGTGCGAGTGTGGGAGACGGCGACAGGGACGTGTCGCAGCGAGCTGAAAGCCCCATCTTGGTACATTGGCCATCTCGCTTTCTCGCCCGATAATCAGGTTCTGTACACGGACAGGGGGCACCTCACGTTGTCTCTGTCCCTAAATACAACGTCACACGTTCAGGACGAGCGGCCGTCGCAGTTCTCAGTAGAGGACCAGTGGGTGTTGCGCAATATGCGGCGACTTCTGTGGCTGCCGTTTGAGTATCGAGTATACCAGACAGCAGTATACAAGGACATAGTCTGCTTTGGGTGTTCTTCTGGACGCGTGGCTCTGCTCAGGCTGCGATAGAGCTGTGTGACGGGGCAAGCGGTTGTTTGCAGCAGCGTGCTCACAAACACATTAGATCTCTAGAGAAGCGCGAATTCACAGATGCGAACACAGATGACATAGCCAGCTGTTGCAAAGATCAATGCAACAAGTCTACATACGATATTTGTTGGAACTGCTAGCTGGATTGCGCTTCTGCAGCATTGAATAGCTACCAACGCTTGTAGCATGTGCACGATCTGCGCGCCATCCTGCTGACCTCGACATTTGCAGATGAGTGTAGTGGTTAAGCATGTGCTCGCAGGTGGTTGTGCAACGCTCTTGCCTACTAAGTAGGGACGTTTTGGGACTGCAGTTAAGTCGCATGCCTATGTGCTGACTGAACGCTTCTAACTTACGCCGGCATCGGCGCGCAAAGACTTTGCGCAGCCATAGCCGCAGGCGGCGCCATGTAACAAGGCTGGGTTATCTAACGCTGTAAGCATCCCGTATGGCGCGTAAGGCTGTCTTGCGCTAGCCAGTATTAGCAATGGTTCAACTTGGAGGTACCAGATTGTATGCTACGACTGTGTAAAACCGTGTGCAACAGCGGGCACAACGCTTGCAGCGACTTCTGTATAGAGTTCTAATGTCAATAGGTCTCGTTAGAGCCTATCTATATGTTTTAGGAGCGGCAATACTGTCGTGATATTGCTGTAGATAGAGACGTATGTTTTAGAGCAAAACCAGGCGCTCCGCAGAACAAGCATGGAAGGCAACAATGCGCCAGTAACTTTCGTTGCGACTGTGTGCCCACGTGTAGACTTGTCTGCAGCAAACTATTACTATCATAGCATAGCAATTCACAAAGTGTGGTGGAAGCAAGACGCGTTCAAGGTTGAAGTATCGGTACTTTTGTTCGGCGCGGGGGGCTGTTCGAACCGCAGGGAGGGAGGTTAGTATTGCAAATATCGCCCCAAATGGCGTGATCAGCTGCCCGGGTCCTTCTTAGCACCGGCCCATCCTTCTCTTCCACCCTTTCTACAGTTACAGCACCACTGTCGCGTGACGCTCAAACACACAAAGCTAACTACAGTCGCCACGGCGGAGGGGGCGTTTTGTACGTTTACGCTGTCCCTGTCCCTGTCCCTGTCCCTGCTGAGGCGCATGCTCGACGCTTGGGAGTGCGGTCTCATGAGCAGGTTCCCAGCTCTCAGTTCCGATTGCGAGCGGGCTCGTTGAGGCAGCTGTCTCTAGCCTTCGTTGTACGAGCGTATGGGCTTGTTCTTTCTGAGATTTAGGCTCTAGGGCTTGGTGCTGTACTTTGCGGCAGTCTGCCAAGGGCGGCTTCGACGTCCTTTCCTCAGCCTGCTCGAGTCCGTCTTGGAGCTTGTTGGTCCCAGCGATGGTACCATCAGACACGCCCTCCTCGTTCACACTACTGTTTTTTCGTTCTCTCGCCACAAGCTCTCCCTTTCGTTCCTCGAGTGCAAGCTTCATCTTCAGTGTCGAGATCTCGTATGCCATCGCGCTTCGTTCTCGGTTGAAGTTCTCTTGAAGATTTTGGATGGTCACGCTCTTCTCGTACAACCGCTGTTGGATGCCGTTGAGGCAACGCTGGAAGTGGTGCAGCTGTTCCAACAGCTGGCGATCATCGTGCTGCAGATGCATGCATGTCAGCGCAGTTTTCGTATTGTCGAGAGGGACGGCCATACATAGTATGCAGACGACCAGCTGGCCTGCTTGCTTGTGGTCTGAGAAGCCATGATGCGAAGAGCTAGAGTCCTGTCGATCGGACGTCGCAAAGAAGTTGCTGCGTACTGTAGGCCGGCGGGATCTGAGCAGGGCGTGAAGATAGTTGTGCCCGTCAAGAAGACAGTCTTTGCTTGGCGAACCTCGAGTATGCGTACCCTCGGTCGCTGTTTGTATGCAGATATGAGGCTGTTCCGCAACATTACCGCATGCCGTCTCGAGTGGTGCTTTCCAATCCCAAGTGGTGCCACGGTATCCTGCGTGGTTTGTGCTATTCTGGGCAGTGTACTGCACTAGCCGGCGTGCACTATCTCGGACAGCCTGCCTAGACAACGTCTTTGAGCCAACTGTCGTTGTCACTGTCGTTGTGGCCGTCGTTGCCGCACAGACCACCCATGTAGTCGTTCGTCTCTCGACAAGAGGCCCCTTGCGGACAGCCACAGCCAGCAAGCTCTGGCCTCGGCATGTTGGAAGTGCAGTTGTCCTCCTATAACACTACCTGCAACCTTCAAAGGCCCGCCTCTTGCACCCATTGATCTGTGAGCAGCTCGTGTATCATGCCGTATTGTCCTTGCGCCCTTCCTGCCTCACAGGCTGCGGTAGGAAAAGGTCCACGTCATACTTGCCCACAGAGCGAGGACTGGTCCAATATCAGCGACCTGGTTGAGCGCCGCAAGATACAGAACCGCATCGCTCAGCGCAAATACCGTAAGAAAGAGCTGACCTTATTCTCCGCTCACTCGCTAAAGCTCGCGCAGGCAAGAAACTCAGAAAGAAACTGGCACTGCTGAATAGTATTACTACATCTGGGTCGAGTTTGAGGGGCGATTCTCGTCCTGCTAGACCGCACGATCTGGCCGATTCGTCCTGTCTGAAAGTCTGTCCTGAGGTCGGCACACCAGGCCTGCATCACGAGCGAGACAGAGACCACAGCTTCACGCCGCTACAGCAGCATTACAATGACGAGCCTTTAAACACACTGCTGCCTGTACCCTCACCGTCACCGACATCGGGTCCGGTCACAGCACAGAATACCGATCCTTCTCTTAACACCTTCTATTCTTCAACAGCCGTTGCGGCGCGCTTAGCCACGTCGCCTCCGGTCGAATACTCTACAACAAAGAGGTCCTGTATCGACGGTAGCCCGTTTTACGAAGGCTACCTAGCGATGAAGGGACCTTCGGTAGCTCAGCGTTGGCATCTGTAGATTGAAAATCGAAATCGACAATCTTCTTGTTTTCTGTATGATGTGACGGTTTATGGAGTGAAGAGGTCATGTCTGCCACGTGTGCTGGTGCAGTGCTCTTGCCTGTTCCAACAGCACTTTCTGGCTGCACGACAGATACGTCATGTAAGCAGACCCTGACTGCCAGGTGAGAGACAATCTGTCAGAGTTCAGTGAAGAACTGTAGGCAAAGGGAAGAATTTGAAGATTGTACTTAGGTTGTATTGAGTGAAGCTACGAACAGCATATATAGGTGAGTAGCTGTAAACAACGCTAGTGTGACGTGGCAGTCACTCTCATGGAGGTGAGGTACGACAGGCAGGAGCACCCAAACCGTGACACAATCACAGAACAACACAACAGAACATACCGATTTACTGCTTCGCGCGGTTGCCCCTGACTTACTGCCCTACGCGGTCACACCTTCACTTATTGCATTTACTGCAACATATGATGTGACGCCACTCAGTCGACGCTCCAGCCATCTTACAAACAGGGCATCCAGCCAGCCGTTTTGGAGGCGCTGCACAGGCGACAGCGCTGTAGTCTTGCGGCTCATTCATATTGAACTGAGCACATGAGGAGTGTATGAGTGAAGTGGATTAAAGTCCATCCCTGCGGTACGAATATCCCCCCGCGCCGAATCAGGTTTCTGCTCGAAGCACTTTGCACCTCAACGCCGCAGGTATACAAAGCTGCAGATGATACAATAGTGTTCCCTGGGTACAAGTTGCCTTACCTTCAAGTCGCAGCACTAAAATTACAGCGGTCCTGCGCGTGCTGTTAACCAGTCCATTCGTGGCGTCCAAAGCAATAGTAGGTGTGTACCCCTGTAACACCGTTGCTGCCGGCCCAAACTATCATCTTGGCGTATCAGGAGGATAGCTGTTGAAGTGAGTGGATTGTGTTGGTTGATCTTACGAGCTATTGGCTAGAATCGATCGAGACTATATAGTAGAATGGGATAGCAGTGAAGGGTTGGGGAAGCAAACCAAGCTAACCCAATGAGCTGGACGATCAGTGCAGTGGGCCGTTAGCAAACACTGCAACGGACCGCTAGCAAACAGATGGCGATCGGTGGATACCTTCACTCCCTCCGACACCTTCACTTATTGCATTTACTGCAACATATGATGTGACGCCACTCAGTCGACGCTCCAGCCATCTTACGAACAGGGCATCCAGCCAGCCGTTTTGGAGGCGCTGCACAGGCGACAGCGCCGTAGTCTTGCGGCTCATTCATATTGAACTGAGCACATGAGGAGTGTATGAGTGAAGTGGATTAATTAAAGTATCAAACAGAATCAGGGAGCCAAGCCTTCTGTAGTCACATGACTAGTATTCAACAATTCAGACCATCCGACCCCCAGAATGCGTCTCAGTTTTCGTAGTGGGGCCAGACATTGATACGGCTGCCCGGAAGAAGCTTTGAAAACCGTTCGGGGTGTTCGCACATCTTCCAAGACGCCTTGCTCTTCGCTCCACAATAGGCTGGCTGGTGGAATTGCAAGAAGCACATTCAGTGGGGGTTTGTGAGACGGAGTCAGGCTTGGCACATGCGGTGGCGGCTCTGGTCAATGCTCTGACAAATCCCTATTGCAGTAGTTGTGTAACTACATGGCTGAAGTCACATGATATCCTATTGTAGAAGGCACTGCCCGGTGGGCAAGTGCACTTACCTCTGAGCGGAGAGCTCCTGTACAACAGATAGCAGTACAATCAATGACCACAGCCTCCGACTGGCACTGCTCACGCAGGAACATAACACAATATACTGATATCACTACTTTGCGCGGTTCCCCCTGGACCTACTGCCCTGCGCGGTTACACCTTCATTTATTGCATTTACTGCAACAGTAAGGGGAGGTTCTTCGCCCGAAGTCTTGTTGAATTGCAAGAGGGTATTGTTGTGGTAGACCCTCAATGTTGCCGTAAGACATCGATTGCGTTGGTGGTGGTTGGAACGGAGGTTGCTGACCCCACGCGTGGCTCTCTGGGTGGCCGTATGAGCTTGTGCTCATCGTAGCTGGAGTATGCACGCAGGAGGCGCCCGACTTGCTTCCGTACACGGAGTTCGCTGTTGACGGAGACTGTCGCCAGTGTCCTGCGTTTGAATTGGGGCTTTCGGCGATCGTTGACGATGGAAGATAGCAAGTTGTTGGAAGCCATTGTGTCTCTATCGGAGGAGGATATGGATAGGCTGCATGTTGTACTGGTACTGTACGTCTTAGCCTAGCAGACACAGCTTGACACAGGAAAGACCTTACCTCCACTTGAAGTGGGCGTATGATTAGGATCAATTCCTAGTCCGCCGGAATATTTGTAAAGCGTATTTGGCGCGGAAGCTGAAACCCCATGATATGGCGGGTGGAAGTCGCCAATATTCTCCTGCGTATGGAGGCAGATGTCTTGGCGATGAAGTATTGTAGTTGCATTCTTTTTTTAAGTCGAATGCAATTCGAGCACGGCCTTGTGGGTCATCTGGTGCCAGAAGACATCGAATCTTTCTCCGTCGGCAGAGTCATTGTAGTCATGTTTGCGATGCGATAAACAACTGCTTTGTTGACATACCGCACGCGACCGACGTTCGATGGTATCCTAGCTTGTTGCGCGCCTTATTACATGTTGGCGACAACTCGTCAGATGTTCCTGAAGCCAAGTTGCGCATGTGTGGCGTAGATGTTGATCTTCGAAGTTCTCCAGGTATCTTAGACGAATGTCTTTTTTTGCTAGGATGTTGATGTGTTTGGATGGATGACTTCTAAAACGTTGGAGCCCGCACTAGATCTTGTCTTAAGACGGCAGCAATCAAACAAGTCAAGTATAACAAGTATTTGGTCACGGCTCAACTTGTTTGCTTGCAAAATATGGTGGCGGAGGCTTGTTTGTTTGACTTGGATATTTGCAAGTAAGTCAAACAAGTTAATCAAGTTAACTTGCTTGTTGACAACTCTGCTTGTAAGTAAGCTTCGTCTGAGGCGATATTCAACGGTTGCGCCGAAATTGTCAACGCACGACGCACCTTCGTCCAAGATGCGCCGAGTTTGAGATTGAAGTGAACAAAGGATCGTACTGCGCCCTGCCCTTGACCGAGCTACCGTGTCCGTGCGCGTAATGCGCGGATTCGCGTAATGCGCCAAACCACCTTTTTGTACCCATACTTCACTGTACAATTACTCAACGCCACAATGACTATGAAATCTGCCTTTGAAGAGATAGACTCTATGATACCATGCGATAAGATCCCGTGAACAGCGCTGGCTAAAAAACATAAGGTTGTGCGCTCAACCCTGTCTCGAAAATATCGACACGAGACGCGATCG